TGCAGTTAGGAGTATTTTGGTATCTTTTGTATTTATGTTTCTGATTGACTTCCCTGGGGAATAGAGGGATCACAGAAGGTGAGGGCAGTTTAGTCTCTTTCCTTGCATAATTCTACACTGAAATATAGAACAGTTGAATCCCTTCCTCAGCCTCACCAGCCATGTATTCATGTGCCTCCTTCCCAAAGCCCCTCTGACATTGTCCTCATTGATTTTTTTTGTCCTCTGGGTGACTTTGCGTGGTGTGAGATGAAACTTCAGAATTGTTTAAATTTTAATTTCCCTCACTATTAGTGGTTTGGAGCATTTGTAGTTTTCATGTCACTTTATAGTTTTTAATTTTTCTTTTACTGTTTACCGCTTTATAGTTGACATCCAGAATCTTCTAAATCAACACCTTGTAAAACTTTGGCTATTTAAATCTCTGGAGAAATGAGAGAGTTTGTTATTTTTTTTTAATAATCTTTTGTTTTTGTATCACATTAATTTCAGGGTATCTCTCCTTTCCCCTCCCCAGCAAGCCATCCCTTTTTTTTGCAAGAACAAAAAAAAAGAAAGAAAGAAAGTGGGGGGGGTGCAGTTCAGCAAAACTCTCATCACTTTGGCACAGTGTTTGGCGTTATATTCACTGTTCCACATCTATTATGCCTCATGAGGGTTAACTTTTTTGGATATAGATCTTATAAAATGTATCATTTATTTCTCTGCCTTCTTAAACAGTATAACTGACTATAGATTGACCATTTTTTAATTACTTTGTGTCATTAGTATGGTTATCTTTGGTATCAGAGATGAATACATTGAAAATAATGGTGGCCTCACTGTTTATTGCGCAGTGGATTTCGTGTTAAATGGCCAGAATGTTTTTTTTTTTGAGTTCTTGTGTCTGCTTTTTATAGTTTTCCTGTCACTGGTTGCTTCTTCCGTTTGTTAGTTTGTCTCCTTCTAACAGCTCCTCTCACCATTTCTTATTGCTGTATCTAATTTGCTGTGGACTTAGAAAGATTACCAAACTTGATAGAATTTTTTTTTTTGTAAAAATAAGAATAGTCTTTGAGTGAAGGCTTGAGATCTGGTACATGATCTTGATAATGTACATGACTTTATAATATCTCTTTTGGCCACTTAAAGATATCTGCTTTTCTGGTTTTCATCTGCCTTCTAGATAGGTGAGGTTGCTTAAATGTCTGAGTTCTGGATAGTTGAGGGATTACAGTACTGTAGTACTGTATGAGGGAGTACAATACTGTAGTACAGTATTGTAATGGAGTTCAAATTCTATTCATTGTTGAGTTTCGGCATGTCCATTTGTGAATGCTAAAGAGACTAGCCAAGGTCTAACACTGCCTGGTAATGTATTTTGAAATGGGTTTATGCTGGAAACAGATTAATATTTGAAAAGAATTTTCATTTTGACCAGACCAGATATAAGTGCACTGAACTGTCTTTAGTTTGACTTTTGTTCTCATTTTGGAATTCTAGGGCAGAGGCTGTAAAAGAGAGCCATCTCTGGAATTATGAGGAGCTCTCCTTGACATTTTGTTGTATTTCTAATACTGGTTCTCCTTGGTCAAGGAAGTAATACCAAAGGGTCAGAGTTCCATGTTCTGTATACTTTTGGTTCATCCTGAGCCTAGTCTGGCTACTGATCGTAGAACAAATAAAGGATGTTTTCTTTTTCCAGAGTGCCTTTCCTACCTCCCCTCTCCCACATAGCTCCATTTTCTTTTTTCCTTTTCTCCCTCTTACAAATTGAACTTTTCCAGAAGAGATAGTAGATTCATGCTGCTGTTTTAGGTCTTCTGACATCTGCATTGGTTCTATGTTATTTTTTCCCTAATTTTTCTCATTATAAATTGTATACTTTTAACACTGGCTAAAGATCTAGCCAGATTTGAAGTTAATCCAGGCATGAAATGAAGTAATCAGTTTAGAATTGTTTGTTTTGAGGTTTGGATTTTTTTTTTTCAGCTACCTCCACCCCTTGCTATGGAATCTTTTGTGTTTGTTTTTTAAGTCCTGATCACTAAAAGTAAGGGAAAAACACCAGGAAAAAAAAAAAACTGGGGCCCACCTGGACAGCTGTATGAAGAATGGAATTGCCTTTAGGGGAGATTGAAGGAACATAGACACAGCATCTGCAGCCACATTCTTTGCTTTTGGTAAAATGCTAATCCCAATTTAACATTATGACAGCAGCTCATTAAAAGCCGTTTGGAAATGTGCAGATCTAGGCAGCAGAAAAGAAGGGGCTTTGCACGCACGCAGTTGAGAATAATGGTAAACCACGTGGGTCTCATTTTGTTTTAAATCAAGTAAATTACACAAAGGGAATTTACAGGCATGGACTTGCTGTGGTATGTAGCCTTCAAGGTTCACAGTCACATAGATAGCTCCTAGTTAAAAAATACAAAACAAAATTCAGGAGGTATTTTGTTGGCATTTTTATTACGAAAACATCAAGTTTTATGAGAGCCTTTCTGGCATTTACTTTACATATGTCATAAATCCAACTCTTTATCAGGTATTTGGGGTTTATGTTTCTGCTAGTTATAATATCTTGCTGGATAACTTGTTTTGAAACTCTTATTTGTGTTCTTCTAATTAAAAGTCAAGATTGCTTTTTCATTTGTCTGTCATTTATAGCCCATCTAAATTTGAGGATTGGTTTGTCCTAGTTTTGACAAAGCTTTTCCACTAACTAAAAAGGTTGTTTTATTCATTTGCTTCTTTTTCCTGTAATATCAAAAGTACTAAAAAAAAAAAAAAATCATCCTGTAGGAATTTCTTTCAGTAGCCAACAGATACTGAATTTTTTTCTTGACTTCTTCAGTAGTGTAGTACTATTTCATCTGGAGATTAACTGTCTTATCAATTCTGCATTTAGATATTTTAGCCAGTTTAAATTATAGCTACTCAAACATATTATAGTCATAGAATTTTAAGAGTTTAGAAGGGACCAAGGATCATTTAGGCCAGTCTCCTCATTTTATTCATGAGAGGAAAAATAACCCTTCCCAGATCAGGAAGCTAGGTAGAATGAGGACTAGATTAGAGGCCTCCTGCCTCCATTATACTACCAAATAAAATACACAACATGGTGTAATCTGGGGGGAAAATAGAGACCTTTTAAAAACATGTGATGTAATTTTCCCTTCACCTTTCTTTGGACCTACTCCCTGCTGTTTTAAGCTTCTTTGCCATCTCTCTGCTCACAGTCTCTCTCAAGATCTGTTGTATTTATTCTTTAACTGGTTGAGAAACAGTGGAATGATTCACCAGAATTAAGACTGAAAAGGAAACTTAGAGTCCTGGTACAATGAGGAAGTAGCTGTTGGAAGGGGAGGGGTAAGAGGGAGATTTAAACAAAATTAACCATTTGATACAATTCAGTGACTATTAATACTGGGAGGAGGGAGGGGACTGTCCTACTTTTATAAGTTTTTCAAATCCTTAAAATTAATGAATATATAAGGGGTCAACTCTCTCCATCTACTGCCAGCCAACTGCCACCCACACGGCAGGCACCTGAGGGAGAGACAAGAGACAGCAACATGGGCCAGGCAGGTCAATACACCACCACCTCCTTGACTGCCATCTTCTCTTAGACCAGGACCCAAGAACCTTTGAAATAGCAAAGCTTCCAACCCTGTCTCATAGCCATCATCCTGGAAAGCAGGCCCTACGGAGATAGCCTGGTGATCACTGCTGTGGGTGGTACAGCAGCAGCCACTGTGACCCAGAAAGGAGAATTCTTGCCACTGAAATCTTGACACTGTCAGGTGGTTCAATATCAGGAACTGATAGGATTTATCCATGGGAATGACATTAAAGAGCCATTAGCATCTGCCTTGCTTCTACATCCTAAGGGCAGCTGACTTGCAGCTGAAACCTTCTATGTGCCTTGTCTTCCCCATTAGAATATGAGCACCTGGAGGGCCGGAGCTGTCCGTCTTTTCTGTTTGTATCCCTGGAGTGTAGCACAGTGTTTTGCACATAGTCAGTGCTTAATAAATGCTGTTTTCCATTCATTCAGAATTATGCATGGTTCCATGTTTTCCACGTAATAGTTGTATTTTAACTTGCATATTCAGAGCTGCTGTTTTCACCCTTTTTTTGTTTCTTTTTTTTTTTAAATGGTAATGTATTCCCTTTTTCTTAATATAAAATGATTGAACTTTGAAGGAAGTTTTCAGGTTTTCCACTCATCCACATAGTCATTTAAATAGCCTAGAAAATTAGACTTAGGTCCTGGAATTTGACATTTTCAGGAAACCATGCAAGAGAACATCCAAGTGTATGTTAGCTTTATCTCCTTTCCACCTGACTCCCCCATTCCCACCCCATGGTTTTATTTCTGTCTGGCTCTGGGGCTACAGATTCACACCAGATTTCATCCTATTTATTCTGAATCTAGAAGTACACTCAGGAGTCTAGGGTAGTTCTTGAGCTGACCTAAAAGTTTGAGCCAACTCCATGGTGAACCTGTGATGACCTCCAAGGATCCCAGTTTGGTTTTCAGCTCTTTGGCTCTCTTGGATTTTTGTCACTGGAGCTGGAGTATGGTTCCTAGTGTTCTGCCTTTAGATAAAGGCAGAAACTTTGGGTTATCATCCAAATGAAACAGATAATGTCCAGATTGGATTTTACTGACTTTGCTTCCTCTTTTCCCCCACCCACACATCCTCCTAGATACCAATTTATCTTCCTGCTTTGAAGGACAGGGCATATTTGGGGCACATGAATTCATCATTTATGAATCATTTGTGCCTTGGTGATAAAAGCTGATGATAATTTCATTGGTCTTAGGTTGAGCCATGAGAAACTTTGAAGGGGGAGGTTCAGAGATGGTGGTTAAGTGCTTTCGCTTCTTATCTGGCTAAGTCAGTTTCTCTTCTCTCCAGTCTCTTTGATTGTAATCATCCCCACCTTTGCCTTCATGTTTAAAAACTGGCTCACATCGTCCTTCCCTGGCTAACAACTTGTATTTTTTTGTTTAGTTTCCAGGCAGAGCGCCCAGCACTCAATGTCGTCATTTTCCCGCTGCTCCACGAGGGCTTGACTGATGTCATCAGAGATGTCCCCATGATGCACCTGGATGAAATTACCTTGTTCAAAAGCAGAGTGGCTGAAGAGCCCCCCAACCTGTGGTGGTGACAGTTCCACCTGGAAGTGGAGTCTGGTCTGCAGTGACAGGTGGAATGATTTTCCTTCAGCCTGAACTTGACCCTCCTCACCCCTCACCGACTTCTTCAGCTTATAGCTGCCTTGTTGGATGCTCTAGAACCACTTCAGTCCAATTCCACCCCAAGCCAGATGAGACTGGACATTTCCATGGGCACGCGAATGTTGTCATTGGGTTGTTCTGCTGCTGCTTGCGCTCTCCAGGACTCTGCTGAGAAGCCCCATCCGAGTGGTTTGGCTGTTTCCTTGTGGTCAATAGCAGTTCTTTGGTTTGTAATGTAAAAGAGAACAAAGTGTTCCCTCTTCATCCCGCTACATTCCACTCAATACGTTTCACTAGGGCTTGTGTGTGTGCTTAGCAGTACATTTTGTAACCTTTTCTCTTTTAGACACTTTCTTTGTGACTACTTGTTGCTTTGGTGAGATTTATATTGAGAGCTAAATGTTAACAGGATTACATGAGGAGAGTGAGGTGGGCAGCCTTAAAAGGGGAGGACTAATTTAGTTAAAATAGATGTGGTGCTTGGTACCCAGGCATGAGGTACCATGTGTGTACTTGCACATGAAAAAATATATCGGGATAACATCTCTATGAGTGATGTAATCTATTGACTCGTTTCAAAGACCAGTGTACTGTAACCTTTCTTTCAGCAAACTTTTATATGAACACTGCCATAGTCTCCACATTCAGCCATTTGCACCGTTAGCCCTTGCCCCTCCCTACTTTTGACCCTAGGGATACTTAAGCCTTCCGAAGAGTACATGTATTGAGTAGCTTTATTCCTTTGCTTGGTGGCATGGGGCTAAGAAAGACTGTTTCAGAGAGCCCAAGAGCAAATTCAGCCTCCTCGCAGGATGTGCTCCCTTGTATCCCACTTATCTTCACCTCTGACTCCATTTAAATCTTGGATGAAGCTTTAGGACCCGTTTTTGCCAAGAGTATGTGAGCCTCTGGGCCTATCTGAGACAATGATGGGAGGACTTCTCTATCCTTGCAGCAGCTTGGGGACTGTGTACCACCTAGGGAGGGGGAGTTTTAAGTCTTTAGGCTGCCCTGAGACAAGGTAGGAAGGGGGTGGGCATACTCTATTCCCATAGCAGCTTGCGGAAAAAGTAGCATGGAGTCCCTAGAGCAGTCTGGGGAGAGTCCCTGAAAGAGTTAGGTATTTCAAGAGGAGATTCAGCAGATGAAGGAAAGCAGCCTGGAGGAAAAGTAAGGATTTAGTCCATGACATAGAAGTTGCTACTTTGTCTTTGGCAGGGCACCGTGAAATTAGGGGTGTTCTGGTCTCCTTGGGGTGACCTTTCCTTTAGTGCTGCTTCCACTGGAGGGCACTCAATACTAGAAGTCTCATCGTATGCACAGAAGGCCTGAACCTGGGCTGGAATTTCAGAAAACCAGCGTTGATTTCAAATTGGTTTCAGGAAAGGAACATGATAGTTCTTCACTCAAGATTTGGTTGTGGTAGTCCTCCAAGACCAAGAAGAAACATCTTCTTTGCCATTAGATGTTTGGGGTTGCTGCATAGATGTGTGGGGTTTGACACTTTTACAGCAATGCAGGGAAAGTTATAGCAAAATGCATGGAACTGCTACCAGGATTTCAGGCCCAAGGAAATACTGGAAGGTGGGGAGAGGTTTGGGGTGATGGTAGTGGCTCTGATGGCAGCAGCTTGACTTCGCAGTGTCTAGTCTCTGGCTGGCTGTCTCTGGGTTCTCTTACCCTTGTAGGTTCTAACACCAGGCAGGGTGTTTTCACCCATTTTTGCTCCTACCTCCTTGTCAGGGGCCATAAAGTGATACTTTCTAGGCGTTTCCTCCAAGGAAAATTCACCAACTTGTGTCTTCAGGGACTTAAGTGAATCATTCCCCTAGAGGATTTCTTTTGCCTGTTTTTCCTGGTGTCCCAGCCTTTCCTCCTTGTTCAGCCAGGTTTTGTAGCAACACTAAGTCAACAACATGATATATCACCCATTTTAACTTCAATACTAGCTCATAATTAAAATGAGCTTGTTTCTCTTTCCCATAATGCCTGGAATTCACCTTGTAATAGTTGGCTGACAGTCACTAGTGGATGCCTGATACCTCACAACCTCTACCTTCAACTTTTGATTGAAGTTTTGCTTCTCTTGTAATCATTCCTTTGCCTGTGCCCTTCATCATCATGTTTAAAGCCTTATTTTCTTGCTCATGATGCTTTATTACTTATTCAGCTTCTGATCCCATTTTTCCATTTCCTCTCTTAGCTGTACCTCCCCTTCATTTATCTGCCAGTGTCTCTGGTGACCCACCCTCAAAAAACCTGCCTGACAAATCAACCTTCTTCTCTTATTACTCATATTGTAGAGACTATAGTGTTGATCAAATAAGCTTTCTAATTCTTCTATGCTCCCGCTTGGGTACACATCGCCTTCCTCCCAAGGATTGGGATCTAATCCATATATTAACTATTTGAGGGCAAGTTGTGATTCTTCATTTTCACCATCTGAAACTTTGATCCCTACCATGTGAGCTTTATTGGCCCAATTAAGTATTTACAAAGCATTTTTTATAAAAAGGCTTTTAACAGATCTCTCAGGCTCTTCTTGAAGTCAGACTCTAGAAAGTGGGTAGTAAGTTGAGTCTTATTATTAGCCTCCCACCATTGCTGTAACTTTGGGGACACAGAGTAACTTGGATCTTCAAAAAGAGAAAAGTATTTGGGTAACTTTATTCCCTATCTTTGGGAGTCCAAGAACCAACTCAGTCTCTGCACAGGTAAAGCTCCTTTACATCCCACTTCTAGAATGTTCCAGAATGCCTGGACTATTTCAGTTCCAGCCAACTAATGATGCATAATATAACAAAATACCCTGAGACTTGTCTGTACTGGTAGTCACCATTTTATTTGTTACTGTTTTTCTTAAGTTCTATGAAGCCATAAAGGTACCTTTGATTTTGATCTGAAATAGCATCCAGAATTAAACAGCTCTAGCAGCAGTATATGTCCTGATAGGCATAAACACTAACAGATTGGTGCCTTCATGAAATTTACCTTATTCCCTGTTTTGCTCCAGGAGGTTGTCTGAAGTCTTCTTGTTGATCTGTAAGCAAACATTTCAGCGCTTATTCCAGAGCATTGGGGATTAGTTGAAAAGCATCATCTAAAAATGAAACTCTCTTTACAGCCATTCTACAAAGATGCCAGAAAATAGCTATGTATTGAGGAGTTAGGTATGAACAGAGATGGGCGTGGGTTGGACACAGGTGAGCAGCACATTTAAGCTCCTTTACTTCACCTGAGAGATTCTGCTGTGTGCATACAAGTTGGTCTGCCTTAGACAAGACGAATCAGTGAAAGGTGTTGGTTTGGAGGATTGAACCTATCTTGCATGATGGAAGATGGTGAGCTGCACAGCAAATATGTCCCGGATAGAAAGAATGACCTTTCTCTGTGCATCAGGTCAAGCTGTAAACATAGAGCTGATTGCACTTCAGACCTGAATGCATTGTAGCACGACATATAGTCAAGATTAATTACCAGTGCATCATTTTTAGGGGAGGTTGATGAGATTCTGTCAAGCAGGTGTAATTGCACATTAGAGTTCCTCGTCATGGAGTGAATCTTTATCCTGGGCATGATGTCTCGTTTCAAAAGATGCTGTATAGCCTTAATAACTGCAATAGATCACTTGAGGTCTTCATCTTGATCTGTAGGCAAACTTTGCTAATTTCAATGCCTATTCCAAAGCATCAATGGCTACTTTACATGAATCATCTGGAAAATAAAAGTGCCCTCACAGTCACTGTCTAGAGTTGCTCAAGGTTGGCCACATATTTGAAATGCTGTCATAAAGCTAGGTATGAAAAAAGATAAACACAGGTCAGAATCCAGTGAACAGTATGGGTCTGCAAAGTTCAATCTTCTACCTACAATGGGAACCTGGGAGTAGCTTCAAATGTGTAGAGAGACTGTTCATTCCAGCAGTCCTCACTTGGTGTGTCCCTGACCCTAATAGGTATACCATAGCCAAGGTCACTTGGAACAAATATGATGCTCACACCACATAGAGACGAATGTACATTTGAATGGCTCCATGTAAGCCATCACCACAACACTTTTATAGTTTTATAGTTTGAACCCTCCCAAGGGGTGTTTGAAGATCCTTCATGCAATGAAGGCAATTTCACATGTTATCTGATATGGGACCTGAGCCAGATATCTCTGAAATGGCTGTTTTTGCTAAAGATTTGCTCAAGAAGATGGGATTCTTCACCACACAGAATGAGCTTACTAGACCAAATAAGGAAGTGCTCTCCTATAGAATATTCTGCACATACACTGGTCTTAAAAAATTCATAGTACTCTTATCTGCTGCCACACCCAATATGAGATCCATTGCTATATTGAGAGACATCTCTGCTGATTGTAATTAAAAAGGCTCTGACATGCCTTGTTGTACAACAATTCACTGCTATGTCACACCAAAGGATGTGCAGTAACCAGGACTGAGATTCCCATTCATAATGAAGGAGTGGAGTGATATCTAATCCTTGATATCTGTCCTGCATTTAGTGGACAGTAGGACTAAACTCGGAGTAGTAAAAGAGGAAGTGTCTGATGTAATCAGTCATTCTTGGCTTGGACAAGACCCCTCTTCAATAGGACACCCCATAAAGTACTGAAAATGACAACCCAATGAAACCTCTTTAGATCTTTCTAATTTCAAGGGGTTATCCAGGAGACTGCTTGTTCTCTTTCTTGTTCATTTTAAAATATGTATTTCAAGTGAGGTTTTTAGAAGCTGGGGGCTCCCATGCTGATCTAAGGTTTTTTGAACTTTCAGTAGCAGATGCAGCAAGCTAAGGTGTCCCCACATGAGGTTTAATTGTGGGTTGAAGGATGGATGTGATTAAAATAGATGTTAAAAATTGGAATTAGGCTGAAGTTATGATCTAGTTCTTGTTCCATCATATTATCAGTAAATGGTAACAGTGAACAATTAACAAATACTTTGCTGGACGTGGATAGTGTAGTCTACTAGATAACCACAGTGTGAATAGGAATCTTAGGCCACGTAGTCGTCGTTTTTAGGAAACCTGAGAATTCAAAATGTCTTCATTCTTGATGCCATTTGTTGTTTGTGCCCTACCCCATGTTATAGGCAGCTTTGCCCTTATTCATCCTTTCTCAGTTGGGGAAAAATTGAGGAGTGAGATAAGAATTTAGTTGGGTAAATCAAAGTGTAATCCACTCTTTCAATATAAGTAAGTCCTTGTCCGTAGACCATAACTTGTCTTTTCTAGGCCATTTCTCTCTCCTCTTTTAGTCCTTAACCTTGTTCTTGATCATAAGTAGAGCTCCTAGGTTTCTTGGATTTGTCCCATTGGAACAAAGAGCACTGTGTTTTTATGTCCATTAGTGGAGATTTTAAGGTAGTCTTTGTGCCACAAAGGAAGGGGCTAGGGATGGCCATTAAAATTTTTTCCCATGTCCACTCTGAGTGGGTTTGTTTACAAAATGTAAGATACTCTGATGTACTAATGGATAATGGACTCTTACACATAAACTGAGCCGTGATTCTTTCTTTGTAGAGTTTGAATTTGTCAATCATGTCTGTGAGTCTTATTATCCAACCTGCTGTAAAAATTAGAGCTAATTCCTGGGAGATAAAGAATTGACAAATTCAGAGGCTACGTTTGATATGTAGAATAGAGCACATGGAACACAGGGATGCAAAGAGTGTATAACAGTAAACTCATGTTGGGCTATCAGCCAGGTCACATAGGACGTAGCTACTGGAAGAATCACACAGGTCTGGAAGATGAGGTAGAGAATCCATCAACTCTGCCCAGATGAAGGATAGTAGCAACCACTCTCTTTATACCTGCTAGTGGGCTCAGCAGTGAAATTCAGCTAGGTGGGGTTGGTGACTAAATTTAGAGCTCAGGGGTTTGCTCTTAGGGGCTTTGCTGGCCCTTTGGAGTGCTAGCTGGTATATGATGGATCTATTAACTCTCCAAAAGAAGACAGATGGATTAGTAATGGTGCTAGATAATCTCCCAAGGTGAGTCCCATTTAGGCCAGTACAGATGATCAGGTCAAGGTCAGCCATGACTTCCTTTGGTATTTCAATAAATAATTCAACATAGTAATGGAAGGAGCCTGCAGAACTCAAAAGTCATAGGCAACATAGTCAGCTGCTTATCTAACTTAGCCAGTTAGGAAATACTTCATCTGTTACATTTGACCCCCTTAATATTTGCTTTAGGTAGAGCATTAAAATAGGGATGCTATTGAAACACAACACTTTGGCCTACTTGTACAGGCAGCTGAAATACTAGGATCCTCTCTGGTGTTGGTTGATTGTAATTTGTGGCGTACTTTGACATGGTATGAGAAGATAACCTGTTAACCACAGCTGCCTCCTCAATCCAGACGTGATTCACAGCTGCCTCCTTCTTCAGAACTCATCATTTTGACTGGAGCTAGGTGAGAATAGTGAATTATACTCTTTATCTCAGATTACCAGAAGGTAATGAGTTGCCCATAGAAAACTACAATGTTGCCAAGGAGAGGCAGTGTTTTTAGTGGGTAGATGATACAGATTTGGTGTCTGCCCTATCAAAATGCTTTCCTTTCATCTGCCCAATCAGAAGATGAGGTGGAAAGGAATTGCCTAACAACGGAAAGACTAAAACCCAAAGAGAAAAGATGCTGTTGCCTTTCACCATCAGGCACTCATACCTCATTCTGTACTTGCACCATTTGGACCAAATTATAAGACTAATTTAAAAACAATAACAACAAAAAACTCCAAACATGTTTTCTAACCATGATGTCCTATGGGGAAAAACAGGTAATGCATTTTCTCTAGTTCCTTTGATTGTCCAAATCTCTTTTCTTGTCAAAACTCTCAGTATTAAAGTTTTCTATATATGCTACTCCAGATGGACATTTCAGCTGTAAAGAGTCATTATACACACGACCAGATCCTCAGTTCCTTCTCCAACGGCTTTGACCTTGCTAATGTTCTCTGGGAAATGATGTAAATGAGAGGTGCTCCCTGCATGTTGCTTCCAAAGTCATGGGCCCAGGCTTCCATGTCCAGTATGAAGGGAAATCCATATCCCTTAATTCTCACACATCCCAGTTTTCTAAAATCCAAAATGAACTTGCAAACCCAAAATAGCTATGATAACATGAAAGAAAATTGTAGAATCGAAACAATTATCAAAGCCTACAATCTGACATCAGATTTCATAAAAATATAACATTTCCCAAGAAGTACCAATGTTCTTAAAACCCATGGCATATCCAAATCCACTCAGATCACAGATGTTACACATTGAGTCATTTTTCAGTTATAGTTATGCAAATCTTCAATTGCTGCTTGTTTTATTACTACTCTTCTAACTTGCTAGTTATAGCTAATGTTGATAACAAACTTGACTTCTTAAATTGAGCTTTTTAACTTATGGGGCTCCAAATTTTAGACATTTGTGCAATTGAAACAAGTATTTTAATTATGTATCAAATATTTTAATTACCACATGGCAGTTAAATAAGGTGAAGGGTCACTCCCAATTATTCAGAGTAACTCTATATAGGGCTGTGGAAATAGACCAGACTGTTCTAAACCTTGTGTTGATTTGACCCACAGGATAATGGCTACCTTTCCCATGAAGCGGCCTTGTCTTCTCACTCGAACAGTATGAATTTACACTAAATGAACTTACACTGGATAACTTTTAGAAATTCTAGAGAGTATTTTGAAAAATATAGTGTGTGTGTATATATATTTAATTTCAATAGAATAACAAAGTATTGAAACCTAAAAAGCATTTTAATCTCTTACTAGTGGCCTGGTTAACCTTCTCACGTTGCCTTATTTATTTTGTGCTTTTGAAATAAACACAGCCGTTCCAAAAGTTAACAGCCACCTTTTACTAAAATATGAAGGACTAAATTCATCAGGTTGTATAGTAGTGAGGTCTCCCTTCCTTAACTGTCATAGTGTCTTGTGGACATAATTTCCTTGTTGTCCATACCACTCATTGGTGAATAGAAATGCTTTTCATTTGAGGCTTTTAGCCATGTGACCTAGGTCTGTGGCACATCTGCTTGGTGCAGTATTCCCAAAGGGCTTCCTGAGGGAACTCAGACCTTCCACGTGTGCCATCTCAACCTCATCTAGTCGGTGTTCTCATCGCAGCAATGTCATAGCTAAAAGTGCTTTCTACAGGTTTACTTCTCAGAATGGTATCCAGTGGGGAAGGGCCTGGCAGGAAGGAGTGACCTACCTAACCTTCCTACATCTCCTGCAAGCTTTCGGCTTCTTTTGTTTTCTTATTTTTTTAATCGAGGCTGTCAGACCTGTTTGTCCTGTCTTTGCCATTCACTATATAATTATACCGTGGCCCAACCTTATCTGTGCCACGTGTACACATCACAAATCTGAGTACATTTAAACAACCTCTGCAATAGCCCCTTCTTTGATTTTTCAAAGTGATTTGCCTCTTAAATAACATGAGCACCATTCTGTGCTGTTTTTGTCTTGCACTTCACCTTGCTGCTAAAGAACCAGGATAACTGATCATTTGATACATTTATCATTTCTACCCTCCTTTCTTAAATAGGCAAATATATTTCACTAGTTTACTCCTTCGCCCAGGAGGAGTGGCGCTGGAGAAGCCTTTCTATACACATCCTCCTCCTGACTGTGTGCACTTTGTTTGGAGAAGAGGAAGACAGTTAAAAAATGTCACTTTAAGGCAATTTGTGATTATATCCTCATAGTGTGAACTAGGCACCCCATGTTGTAATAGGACTGTTTATGTCCAGCATGGACAAAACTCTGTTTCCCATTTTGTTTTGTGGAAAGAGAAGTATGTCATAATTAGGAGTTTTCTGCCGTCATTTTTGCTCTTTAGCTCTTCCCAAAGCCCAGTTTTGTCAGTCATCTCCTTTCCGTCCCTGAAAAAAATAAACTGTATTTGTTTGCAAAGTTGCTATATTAGAGTTGCCTTTTCCCTACAGATGATCCCTCTCTAGTCCTGCCATATCCTTTCAAGAACCATAGGCAGTGGAATAAGGTTGTTCAGAGCCCTGGGGAGCAAGGTCTAGACTGTGAAAGGAATGGTGATCTGAATTCCTGGCCTTGATTTTTTTCCCCCAAATCTAGCAACAGTCTGATTGAAAGGGAGGAGAACATGGGGGAGGGAGTGTACTGTAGGAATGCTGCACTGCTGACCCCTTCCTATCCAAAGTGAAGCTTTTTCCTTTGCCATCATAGAGTTAGTTCTGGCCCAGTGGACATGAATCATGAAGAAAATTGCTGCTCCTGTTTTCTCCCTCCTGGAAGATCTAGCTGCCAAAGAATAGGCAGGTGCAACCTGTTAAACATGCAAGCTTGTTGCCCCCAAGAATCGTTCTTTCACAGGTTAGTCCCACTCACACACAGTCCTTTGAGTGTTGCAAGACCCTTAAGGTGATTTTTTTCTGTAGTTTTCTTTCAATCAGAAGGTTGCTGCTCATACTGAAACCAGAGGATTATGCCTTCCCTAGGAATTTATTAGAAGGATATGATTGTATCTTTATGACTGGGGCCTAGCAATTCTATTCTCATAAGCAAGCAATTTTAAACAGTAACATAATTTATACTAATAAACAGGACTGGGAAAAGGGCAGCCCCCAGGCAGAAAGGGGGTATCAGTAGTGGATGGAAATGAAAATTGCTGTGAAAAGAGACACCAAAACTGTAGACCTGATATTTTTAGTGTCCCTGCAACAATCCTTTTACTTAGAGTGAGAATTTCCGCTGCTTCTGCACTCGAGACAGGATTCACCAGATGTTAATAATGTGCTTATTTTCTCTAAGTGCTATTTTGGCACCGGTGTTAATTACAATTTATATTCTGCAGCATTTACACTGGGAAAAGAACCCACCCTAATAGTCCCCAATTGGCAGAGCTGGGCTATTAAGCATAGTACCATATGTTCTGAGCTGAGAAAAGCATGGGACTTAGAGCCTGGTCAGCATTAAAGCTCCAAAATGAGTTTTATTGTGTGTGTGTTTTTCTTTTATTATGGGGGTGCTGGGGAGTGGGGTGGAGGTGAAATGGATTGGAGCATACTTCCTCCTCCCCCCTTCTTTTAAAATTTATTTGATATCTCCTGCTTCAAAAAGAAGATCTACTTTTAATTTCCCTGCTTCTTATCCAAAGGTTCTGTGTCATTGTGGCATCTCCAGCTTTTTCTTCTGAGCAGCACATTGCTCATCGTTGTGCAGCTTGAGGGCCACGAGAGGGACTAGAGCACCTGGGTCCTACCTGCCTCGGGCTCGATGACATGGAAGTGAATTTCAGCCAAAGAAAGTTTATGCATTTAAGGACCCTTAGCGTCCCACTCTACATGAGAGAAGAAGGGGGAAGGAGGTCTCTAAATTTGATAAAAATTAATTTTATGTTCAGGCTCAAAGAAGCTTGATTAAATATTCTTCCCATTCCATGGGAAGCAGCATGGTGCCATGGAAAGAATGTTTGATTTGGAGCCAGCGGGCCTGAATCCTGGCTATGCCCCTTACTACCCCTGTGACCTTGGACAACTTACTTAACCCATCTGGGCCTTATTTCCCGTAAATGTAAAATGAGGGGATTCTACTAGGTAAAGTACTTTCTACTGAAAAGTAGATTCTACTTTAAAGGGATTCTAGTGTAAAGTCCCAGGTCTTAAATCTATGATCCTTAATTTTTCTTTTTTCTTTTTTTTTTTTTAAAAGCATTTTGATTTGGTGGCATGACAGTCCATGTCCCTTTTAAAAACTCAAATGATAAGGAGTCTAGAGGCAACAGATATGCTTTTGGTTCCTCTGCATTTAGATGCCTTTAGTCATGCCTAGGCACCCTGATGGGGAACCAGAGTGTCTGCTAAGGGCAGGTCCTGATTCAAGTTCCTTGTTTCATAGCTTTCATTTGGGATCCATTTCAGTAGTGACTTGTAAAGAACCTTGGAAACCTGACCTAACTTGGCGTTTCCTCACTCATAGACACAGAATTCACATCAGCATCTTGTAATATTAAAGGATGATGAGGAAAAAGCATTGGCCCCATGCTGTGCTGCTCAGGTTCCTTATGTGATAGAAATGTGACCTATAACAAATTCAGTTCCCCCTTTAAAAAAAAAATCTCGGTCTAGCCTTGCAGTGCTGATTTTTCAAATCGTCAATCTCCCTTAACTGTTTCATGCTGGGACTTGTGTCTTGCTGTTGGCAGTGAGATGCCCTGCAGCTGCCAGTTCACAGGGTAAATGACTGAGAAAAGGTGATCCCTGGGGTGTAAAGGGTAAGAAGCTGCCACAGTGAGTGCCAAGGCAGTTTTCAGAGAGGATGCTTAGGAGCAGCATTGCTTAAACTGAAAATGCGTGCACGCACGTGTGTGTGTGTGTGTGTGTGTGTGTATGCACGCTTGTGTGTATTTGATACAAGATTGTTGAATTTGCTTTGGAGTGATTCATTGTAAACTGAGAGACCAATACCACCCATGACTGAGACCATCCAGAGAAGAGCAAGTTTTAAAATAAATGCATTTAAGATTGGGTATTGAAGAGAAGCAAAGCATCTTGGTTCCATGATCTGCCAGCTAAATACTCCTTGTTTGATTAGATGCACAAGCGGATGATTTCCATAGAAACCAATGGGGATGTGGTCAGAGAAGTAATGATTAATAGGGAAGGGACCCTGCCTGGGGCCTTATTTTAAGGGGGAGGAGAAGAGAAAAACTGGAGTGGGGGGTGGTTTAGCTTTTTTAGAGGTGGGGAAACTCAAAATGGAAAATCCTTATTTCTTCCATTAAGTTATGAAAGTAGCCTTCCTCTTCTTCCTGTCCCCATTTTCACTTGCAGCTTTTAGGATTTGAAAATTGCTGGAAATAATAATAAAAAAAGTTAATGGATGAGGCAAGATGATTAACATTGTTGCTGTTAACAGCAGGATCCTGGCCATTTCAGCCATAAAACATGAAGCAAGGGAGACATTGACCTTTCTGCTGTTGAAATAAATGGAAAAGTCGATATCCATTGTTTTCAATGGCATCGACCTCTTGACACCCCTATTTTTCCCCCCACTTTTTTTTTATTGACAGTAAAAGGGTGGAGATGAGGAGGATCTGAGGGAGAGACACTTGTACCAGTCATTGATCTCATTGAGGAAAGAGAATTAGAACTGAGACTTGCAGAATACTAGACATGAATGGAAATTTGAAAACTGTAGATCTGACAGAGGGAGATCAATTTAGACCTAATTATCATACTTTTTCCAGGCTCTTTAAAAAAAAAAAAACACTCATGTAGAATTTTATGTTGTTATCATGAGGTCAAGGCACCTTATTTTTTTTCCCCTGCAGTCCCACTGCTGCGAATTTCATCAGTGTACCAAGAATCATTGTTAAACCAGGCATTGCTAATTAGCTCTGTGACAATTAAGTAATGTAGTGCAATGCCATTAGGACATAAGATCAGTTTTTGAAGTTGGTCCTTTGAAGTGGAAGCTGCAGCTCCACTTAAAGCTGATGGGGGGGGGGGGAGAAAAAGGGGAGGAATATCTTTTTACCAAAATTCTAATGAGATACAAAAGCGTTGGTGACTGTGAGAATATTCACCGGTGTAGTCAGTCTCAGGTACACTCACTCACTCGGGTACCTGCCCCCATGCATACGTAATCGTGTCAGGCTTGTAATTCTTGTACAATGATTGTCAATAGTGTTGATTTAAGTGGAGTGAAACTGGTTGCTTAATTTATCACTGTCCCTTTGTGTGTGTGACTTTTACAAAAAAAAATTGTATCTGTTCATCATAGGGTGATTTAAGAAGAGACTTACGATGTCAACAGTGTTACAATTTAAGGAGGCTCAAAGAGTCCGGTATATCATGTGATAAGGTGCTATATTATTAACAGCAGGAAACAGAACCTGTTTACAAGTGAGTGACAAATTCCTCAATTTTAATGACTCCATCTGTGCACTGGGTTTTACACTTGTATTTTGCAACTGGATCTTTGTGTTCATAGTATCAAACCACATATTGAATGTGCTATTTTCATGTAAATTTGTGGCATGTAAAAGATTTCAAATAAAGTGAAATGGATTTTAAAAAGGTTACCTTGTGTCTTTTGCCCCATTTCTGAGACAGGATTATTGGTGTTCAAATGAAACCTTGTGGGTATAAATCAATTATCATCCATAGAAGTCTTGTTGAAATTTCAACTCCATTGTGTATGCCATCAGGGGCTGAACAAGATCTCTTGATCCACTTTTACAAATGGACCATACCAAACAACAGCCTCTTGTATGGAGGCTTTCCTCTGTTCACGAATCACAGAATCTTGAAGTTAGAAGGGAATTTGGTAGCTCATAGAGGTTAACCTGTAACTCAGAATTTCTACATCCCCAACAGGTGCTCATCTAATCCCAATTTGAAAACCTCCTGTGAGGGGGCACCATGTCCTGAGACTGCCAGTTCCCCTTTTGGACAGCACCAGTTATTAGGATTTTTTTTTTCCTATGGATCCAAAACCATTCTCTCTATAACTTAGACCCACTGCTCCTAGTTCTGGTGTTTGAGACCCAAGCATATCAAATCTGAACCTTCTCCCTTTATATACTTGACGACAACTATCATGTTACCCCTAAGTCTTCTCCTCCATGGACTCAACGTCCCTAATTCTTTCAGTCTTTCTTCCCGTTTTGTGGACTGAATTCATTATCACTGTCTCAGTCACGATCCAGCCCATCAGTTTTCTTCTTAGAAAATCACAGTCAGTGAACACAGTACTCTAAGTGTGGTCTTCCCAGAGCAGAGTGCAGTTGGATTAGCATGATATTTGATTCCACAAACACCACGCACCTATTTGCAAAGTCCCTGCTGCTGTAGCTACTGAGAGAGCTATGGTAATGAACTTCATAACCCCTGCCCCTAAGGAATTTACAGTCTAGTAGGGGAGTTAAGACCTAAACAAATAACTATAATGCAAAGCAGTAGACCTGCGTGAGGGAGGTATAAGGAAAGAGGAATGAGAATTCAGAAGAAAAGATCGTTTCTGGCTAGGGAGATCGGGGAAGGATTTATAGGAGTTTTGAACTGGGCCTTGAAGGATCAGTGGCATTTCAACAGACAATGATAAAGAGGGAAAAGGCATTCTATGACTGAGGAACAGCATAAGTAAAGTTTCCCTAGAAAATTTTCCTGCTTCCCAGAAGCAGGAAGACTTTAGAAATATAGAAAATTATATATTTGGGAAATAGTGAGTAGTCAGGTTTGGCTGGATTGTAGAGTATGTGATAACTGATACTTATATAGTCCTTTAAATGTATGCAGAATGCTTTCCATAACTCATTTGAGCCTCACAATAACTCCTGGAGGAAAGCTCTTATAGATGAGGAACGGAGACCCTGAAGGAGGTTAAGTGGTGAAGGGGCAGACACGCAGAATTTGAAACCAGGTATTGACTCCAAATGCAGTAATAATAGTAGTAGTAGGGGCAACTAGGTGGTGCAGTAGATAGAGCATCGGCCCTGGAGTTAGGAGGACCTGAGTTCAAATCTGGCCTCAGACACTTGCTAGCTTTGTGACCCCAGGCAAGTCACTTAACCCTGATTGCCTCCCCCAAACAAAAATAATGATAGTAGTAATGGTAGCAGCTAGCATTTATATAGTACTTTCAAGGTTTACAAAGTGCTTTGTTATTTTGTTTGACATGTTATCTCTTTTGATCCTCACAACTTTTGTGAGGTAGGTGCCATTTTACTGATGGGGAAACTAAGGCTGATGATGGTAAATTGACTTGCCTGGGGTGACACAGCTATTAAGTGTGTGAGGCAGGATTTGAACTCAGGTCTTCCTGACTTCGAGTCTAGCACTCTGTCCACTGCCCACCACCTAACTGCTGGTATTTTGTAGAATTGTAAAAGGCTTAGTGTGTTAGGGAGGGACCAGATAACAGAGGGCCTTGAATCATTAACCGAGGAGTTTAGATGTCATTCACTAGGCTTTGGGGGAACTACTGA